AAAGTATTTGTTTAATACCATTTTATTTCAAAGAAAGAGGACATTGGTTTCTCTTTAATCGCAAGAAATTTATTTGGCTTTTTTATCCGCTGCCACTTTTTTACAACAATACCCTAAATCGATAATTTTTCACAGAACCATACGAATTTTTACTCGAATATTCCCGCTTCCCTTTTTCTTTCTGCCTCTCTAGTAATCCCGCTTGTATTTTATAGATTGTAAGAATAATCCCGCCTCCCCAGTAATCCTGCGTGCGGGGTTGAAACTTTTGATTGGCATTTGCTATTCTTTACTCACTTTGTATGGGCTTCAAAATCAAAGATTGAAACTTATGCTTAGAGTGAATGGTTTAAATCACGTGATAATGTCGTAGACGGGAGAGGGCAGAGAGCTGTCTTATTTTGCAAGTTGATCAAAGATCTAAGTATTTTTGAAAAAAATATTATTGCTGTTGTCGAAACTGCATATTTTTTTCTCTGATTTGCCACAATCATGTTTAAGAGCCTTTTTTGTTGAAACGGTATCCACAAACTAGACTTCAAGGCTTCTAATAATCCCGCCTTTTTTTGTTAGGTTGAAGCGCTAATCCCGCAGCAGGAATATTAAAGTAAATATGCTATCTACTGAGGTGAATCCCACCCCATGCATTCTTTGATTCTTTATCACGTAATAAGAGTTAAACCTAAATAAACAGACTGGATAAACCGTAAGATATTATAAATCGATATAACCGTGCATTCTCTCTCCTACATCGACTAACTCCAACAACAACAAACCAACTGATTAACAATTATCGATTGAGTAATTATTGGAATTAGTTCAACATGTTTACATTACACATTACCTCAGCAGCGATTGTGTTAGCTGTAACAACTAGAGAAACAAAACTGTAATTAAAGACCTGAAACGATACCTTATATATCTACAAAATTTCTAAAGAAAGTGTTTTTATAGGCATAGAAGGTAAAAACTAAAAAACTAATGTGTGAATAAAAGTATAAAATCCAAAATAGAAAAATGAGAAAAAAGGGGAAGGAGATAAGGAGTAGTCACTACCACCTGGTTACATCCTCAAACTCAGATGGGGGGTGGTTGTGTGGGCTTTAATTTGGTATGTTCATTTCTCGTGGGCGCCCCTCGCAATCCTGCGTCCAGGATCACGGTTGCAAAGGTCAGGAAATACAAATAGAAAATATATATATTATAACGATCAACAAAAAGTAGCAATCGACACAAAGTGCTTATTAAAGTAGGTACGGCATGGCACTGGTAAAAGTGCATCACCTGTGCATAACAGCATAAAGTCAGAGTTGGCGGGGTTGGGTGTGGATATGGGAAGGACATGCCAAATGGGTTGGGTAGAGGAAGAAAGAGGGTACCTGATCTGTGAATGGGTTTGTATGTATAGAATGGATGGAGGACAGGGCTGTTGAAAACTTAGAACAAGAAGGGGGAGGGTTGGGATACCTCATCTGTTTCAGGGGCCCCATTTGAGGCCCCAATTGATTAGTGTAAACTCTGTATTTCGAATATGTGCATGTTTCCTTGTATCAGACGCCACAATATCGTTGTCCATAGAGAATGTGGCGAGATTATTGGTGGAAAAATGTTTGTTTTTTTAAAAGTAATAGTTATATCAACGAGTTATTGTAAAATTACACTTACGAATACACCTGATGGGTCTATTGGATGAGTTGTAATGGCAGGTATGTGACACTATGTATGTCACTGAAAAAGCCGTTTGATTTGGACATGGAGTTTAATTGTTATATTTCCAATACGAGGAAATAGTTAATCAGTAAGTGCTGTACCTCATACCAAAGAAGAAATAGATAAGAAAACATTGGCGAGCCGTGAATTAAATTGCTAGCACTGCACCAGGGGCCCATTTAAATGTGCAGTAATTATATCAGTTTAAAAACTGTCATTTTTAAAAGTTAAGGTATTTTCAAGCAGTAGAACATTTAGTAGTTACTATTGTAACAATGATCTTATAGAAATGAAGGCGGAAGAATAGAAAATTTCTACAGGGCCGTTAATACAAACTAACCACTGGCAGTGCAAATAGAGTTTGTGGCTATATGCTTGATTCTTAATTGCTGAGACATAAAGGTTTTTTGTTAGGTATACAATGGGGTATTTTGGTTGCTTGCACTCATGGCAGTGAAATACATTGTTGCGTAAATTATCTTACTAGGAACATTTTTCCCTATCTGTATGTACTAGCCTGTTCTACAATCGCATTGCTACTGGCTATATTTATTCCTCTAAGAGTGGTAAGTTTATTTATTGACAATATTCTTAACCTCTTTCTTAAACGATTCTACAAGAGCACACTCTCGTTTTAATTATTTAATGTTGCAATATAGTAATCTATTAGACCTTCATAAAAGCATTTACCCAGGCCACATACAGCAAATTCTTAGCCTGGAGGCAGTAGTGGAACAAAGATAAGGATTTCAAAATCCGAATCGACGCCCAAAACCTCATAAAATTCCTGCAAAGAATGTCCAAAGTTTCTAATTGCGAATATTGTGGAGGTGAACCTTTCTTTAATTGTTTTTGAAAGAAGTGAAACGATGTTCAAAATTGTAGGAAAGCAACGCAGATTTACAAAATAATTTTCAAACTTCCATCGTCAGAGATCGTGTCAAATCCAATTGTGGTTTCTTTTATATTCACCAGTTTTCTTTTCATGAATATACATAGTTTGCGATGAAATAATCAATGAAAGTAGCGATTTGTAATAAATTTAAAAGTTTTCACAGAAGAAGTTTGTTTTCTCTCCTCCAGTGGCCATTAGGCACGCGGTGCTGACTGGACAACTAAACTATACCGGTCACGTTCTTGCGTTTTTCTGATTGACATATTTTGGATCATGACAAGAAGGCCCGATAATAATACAGAGTGCAGCTAGTCTTGCCTTCAGATCAGCTCAAAAACCAGTAGATTTCAATGAAACTCTTCAGCGCCATCTTCTATCAAAAGTTATAAAAATAGCAAAGCACTGTACTTATTACGTATCTTGAAAAAGAAATCAACCTTGGCCTGATCCAGATTTAATGGACTCCTCTATTATAATCGTTTCATTATAATGTCTATTCCAACTGTCAATTTAAAGGCAGTCTGTCCCCTTCGTGATGCTCAGGGAAATTATGCTATTGTGGTTCTGCATTCTGATTGTTTATTTGTGCATTGAATCAACGATGCATGAATATCGTGGTCATAGAAAGAGGTTCTGAGAACAATGGGGGACATGTGTAGAATTGTTATTTTTTACAAAATTTTTTGAATCGAAAGAGGCAGCGATAATTATTGTCGTTGGCATGGTACTATGAGATTTTTTAACATACTTGTGCAATTTAGTGCATATATGTTCATGTTTTGAATGAGTGAGGTAAATGTGTACTTTGGGTGTTTTATTTCGTGAAGGACGAGGTCTTTCAAGATGCAACTTTGCTCTAAGCAATCAAGAAATTTTCTCCACAAATGAAATCTCGGCAGTGGCAGTAAATTTAACAGTTTAAAGAAATTTTTAGGCATATTTTTTTATCATGAATATGCGAAGACTAAGTTTGCTTTCCGCAGATGTTAAAGCGAGGGCGCCTGCGCCAGGGGGGGGGGCAGCCAGGGCAGTGACTCCCCTTGCCCTCGTAAAATTGAGAATTTTTCTTCATTTGCCTATTTTTTAACTTTTTCCTGGCACTGTGCCCTTGCTGCTCTCTTCGTGTGCAGACTTCCCTGTGTTGCAGCTAGTTACTTTTCAAAATATTTTCCAATAGATTTTGAATCAGCTGCCTTATAGGGGTAAAAGCCCCCTGAACACAGCTACTCACCCCTAATGCCTGCATGTACCAGTAAGATTTTGGAATAATTAAATAATTAATTTTAATCATGTTAAAAGAACAACATTCACATCTTTCCAGGGTAAAGTGTCAATTTTCCACTTGTAGATTAATTGAGAAGAAAAATTTGAATTTGAAAAAGATTTAAGGGCTATGGATGAGGAAAAGCTCCTTAGCGAGACAAGGTAATTTCATTTTTTTCATGCAGATTTATTGATTATAGTTTGCAAAAATCAGGATTCTGGTTTCTTATCTCTTCTATTCTAAGAACTGTAAAATAGTTTTCCTATTTCTCATTCGTGCCATTTAAAGAAAAACAAATGATTTGATGCTTCACATAACTTGAAACGGTATGAACGTGAAAGTAACGTATTTTGACTTGATTCTCACTTCAGAAACAAGTTAGCGAAAATTGTATGCTAGTTAAAAGGCCTGCAGCACTCCATATAGCTCGCCTGGGTGGGAAGTCTTACGGTAGACAGGCGCATTTTTAAGAGCTAGACATTGATCATACCCACAATCATGATCATTGATCCAAGAGGGAAATTGCTCCACCCCTGCAAAATGAAAAGCCAAAGACAAAGTAGAGGGACACAAAGCAACGAGTTTTCACTTTTTTGTTAATTTTTGATTGGAAAGAACACTGATAGTTTAGCCATCTTACCTATCAAAGCTCACCTTATTTGCTATTGGCTCGATTTCAATTGTCACATGCTACGTGAAATTGCGCACGCTGTATTATTATCACAGGTGAATCTCCCCAGCACATTGTAGTGAAAAATGAAAGTTACGTATTGAATAAAGTAAATTTTTATCGGGTAT